TGTAGAATGTGAAAGAGCGGAGGAGGAGGTCGAGCTTTGGATCCATTGGTTATTATTTTTTTTGCTCTCTGGATTTTGGATGTGTGGGAAGTCTCGTTTATTTATTTATTTTGGGTATGTAATATATTGGTGTGATTGGAAGAGCGTCCAGAGAAGAGAACAAATGAAGTGAAAGTTGATCGAAATTGTGTGTGTGAGGAAAATTTATGGGTGTTGGGATGAATGATCCGTAGGGTTGTCGATCGCTGTCCTTCCTTAGCTGGGTTTGTGGAGTGGAGGCGGGACAAGAGAGATGATGATGTCTTCGAGCGCCCGACACCACTTGTAAGTTGTAACTTGTAAGGTGATTTAATTCCTTTTTTTTTTTTTACTTATCGCGTATTTCCAAGCCTTAAAGGATGGTTTGGATAAATGGGATTTGAAGTATGGATTAAGAGAATTCAGAGATTTTAACAAACCAAAAAAAAAAAAACATTTTTGTTGTTACTGTTTTTAATGATGGATATATTTTTTTTTTTATAAAAGTGATGGAGGTTTGGTTTTATAATTAGGTGTTAGTTTAGAGAATTTGATTTAGGACTTATAGGTTTAAGGCGTTCAAGGTCAATGATATTGTCACTGGACTAATCTTATCTTATCTTACTATATATTATGGTTGTTCAAAAACAACTTTTTGCCACATAAGCACTTGGAGAATTTACAAGTTGCCAAGGTGGACAATTTTTTTACAAGCAAAAAAGTTAGTTAATGAGTTATTTATGGAGTTATCTCTCTCTTCTTTTAATGATGTTTTCTTTTATTCAATAATTCTTTTTTGTTTTTGTTTATATCTATGTTTGTAGAAAAAGGCTAATGTTTGTAGAGTGATATATCACATTTGTTTAAACAAAAAAATATCTTATTAAACTTTATCAAGTAAATTTTCTAATAATTTTAAACAAATACACACATAAACAATAATATTTTCATCGATTAAACAAAATATAATGATGGAAATAAAGAAAATAATTGTTAGAAAATCAATCTATTTTCAGAAACGAACGATGTTATTTTATATTTTTTGCTACTAAACACTCTCTTATTTAGATATGGCAACCGAACCCATGGCCGCAGGTGCCCAACCGCCTCCGACCTAGTCAATGCGGGGAATCTTCACATTGATTGGGTATGGGATGGTACGGGTAAAACACTCAAAATTTTGATGGAGATGGGCGGATATGGTTTTGAAATCCCCTGCCCCATACCCATACCCAAACCCGCCCCACCGAGGATCATCTGTTATATGCATAAAATATAACGAGTCTATTGTAATTTGTCAATGGAAAGAAGGGTAATTAAAAGAAAAATAAAGTGTTAAAATATAATTGATGGCAACCAAATTGTAATTTCATCCACTTATGTATCAGTTCCATACTTTTGGGCAGGTAGTACCAATATTTTTTACATATTTTTTTATGGTGAGTAGCTTATGGGGCGGGTATTATCCATGGGTATCCGAAAATCGCGGGTATGAAGATGGGTTTGTAAAACCTTCCACCGTATGGGTATGAGGCGGGTATGAGTTTAGGTATTTGAAAATGGGAATGAGAATGAGGATGGTTTAGGCAAACCCGACCCATTGCCATCCTTACTCTTATTTCTAATTAATATATCTATAAAATAAAACAAGTATTATATAGTAAAAGTTCTGGATAGAAACTTAATGATGTACAAGTATAATATGACATATGTGAATGTTAGAGAAATCTTTGTTGACGATGTACGATAAACATTATATTTTATCAACCACTAATCAAACATGGGTTGACAATTTTCATTTAATAGTTGAATGTCTTCTACATTAAAAGCCTTTATAGTTAGAAGACTCTAAACCGAGCTATTAGGTAAAAAATGAAAATTCTTTATAAGCATGAGATCAAGGCAATTCTAATAAGTCATTTGGTTACATGATTGTGAGTATGTGACTCCATGGGCTGAGAGTTAGTACAAATTTCAAGAATTAGCAATTGGTATATATTGAGTAAATAAAATTTAATAGCTATACCTTTCAAAAAAAATTTAAATTTTAACTAATATTTTGTATTAAATATTTTGTATCCCGTCAAAATATTAATCATTTCTCTGTTATCTTTAATAATTTTGTAAATCTTATCTCAATTAAAATACTAATTTTTTTTTAATATTGATTGTCACGTGTCTCCTCCAACTCATCATCCTGTTGTTGAGTCAATATTACTAACAAAAATGCTAATGGAGAGTTAAATTTTGGATAATACTTTGTATTTTGAAAGGTATGGTTGATAATTTTAAAAGTTTGAAAGATTTGATTCATAAATTGTATTTACTCTATCGTATAAGATACTAAATTTGAGTGTCTTGATAGACAAATTTTGACATAAGATCCTCTGCAGAGACTTAATGAACATTCACATAAACATGTGTCAATATTAGATAAGTTGATCATAATAAGGGGTACCGCGTGTGTCAAGTTTCACTTGGGATAAACACAATTTAACGAGTAATCAAGTATCTTTATCCAATAATATGAACTCTTAATAATTGTTTGAGAGTTTGTCCTAACTCAAGAATCGCGAAATTTTAGATGTTTTATAAGATTAGGAATTTGAATGGCTTGGTTGACAAACTTTTGTATACTATTCTAAATGTGACGGGATAAACCTTTAAAATGTGATTTATTATTAGAGAATCGAAACCTATGAAGATCATAGATGAGTGTGCTAAATATTGAGAATTTTTAATATGAACATATAGCATACTCACTTATGAAGCGTGAGCATAAAAAAGTGAGAAGATTAAAAAGGTTTTATACATGTAGATAAATTAATTTATATAAATGATAAAATGAAATTTTCCGGCCAACCGGCCGGGTAAAAAACTAGTAAGTGTCTAAGTTTATGTTCACTTTTACTATGATACACTTGAGATGGAGAGATTTCAATTCTCTCGTAAATGTAGAGATTTTATATCTAAACTCATGTGATAATTTTTATTTGCAGCTATATCCCTTTTCTTTTTTATTTGTTCCGCCAACTACCGTTACCAAGTACCAACATCAACATTTTCTTCTATTTGGCAGCCTTATTGGTTAGGGGATGAACATACAATTTGATGCAAAAATAGAATCACTAACTCTCGCGTTAAAATATCAACAATCACGACTGGCAAACAATTAACTTTTTAACCTTTTATTTTCGACAATTCGGAGAGTTAGAATCTTTGGATTGAACATACAGCTTAATTAGCACCAAAAAAAAATCAAGCCAGCCTGGAAGTGTGGTGAGCTAATTATTAAGGCGAGCGCTATCCCAAACGTTTTCTAACGAACGAAAGTCGTCCTGAATGAGCTCTTCCCAATCCGAATACGTACCGTGCGAGCAATCAGATTCTGGAGGCAGCCTGCCTGGATAAGCAACGCCGTGGTCCCTTGCTCCAGAAGAGAAGAGAAGAGAAGAGAAGAGAAAATGGATAAGCAGCCTGCAGCCTGGATATCTCTTGTCCCTAGCTTCTCCCCATTCTTCATCATTGCTGCAATCTACTCTACGGCTCTCTCTACCCATGCTGGCCGGGTTTGTGGCAAGGTTCATGTATATTAACAGACGTGTACGTGTAAATTAATACAGTAATAATCAAGAAACAAGAGTTTTTCCAACGCTGTCGAGCCCATCATCTATTCTAGCTCACTACGGAAAAAAACAGCTGAAGTGACAATTTAAAATTCAGTCAAATTGTCATTAAAAAGTAGAAAAATGTCACAATAGTGTTTGTACTGACGTTTTACGCAAACGACACATAAATGTCACATAATCCAGTGTCACTAACTTCTTTTGTGACATTTGTGTTACAATTGTCAGTACCACTTTTGTGTGACGTTTATTTTACATATTGCGACACTTATAATCGTAGCATAATAACATCTTTATTTGTGAAATTTTAAAGCGTCGTAAGTGATGCAAAATAGTGACATTTCTAGAGACATATCAAACTGTTATAGTTAATACCAATAGTGACATATCTTGTGACATTTCAATATGTCATAGCCCATCTCAATAGTGACAATTTATAAGGACATGTTAATATGTCACGATTGATACAAATAGTGACATTTCTCGAGACATTCATAATTGTCACAGTAGATCCCAATAGTGACATTTTTAAGGACATATCAAAGTGTCATAGTAAATACATATTGTGACATTTCTCAGGACATTCCAAAGTGTCATGGTTGACACCAATGGTAACATTTACCGCGGCATTTCCATATGTTATAGCCCATCTCAATAGTGACATTTTTAAGGACATGTTAATATGTCACGATTGATAGAAATAGTGACATTTCTCGAGACATTCCTAATCGTCAAAGGTGATACAATTAGTGACACTTTTTGTGAGATTCCAATATGTCACTATAGCTGGTTTTTTTAGTAGATCTAATAGCTAATCTTAGGAAATATATAAAGTGGTTGACTCAATCTAAGCGATGCTGATTCTGGCGGTCCATAAAGTGTCACCTAAACCTACGAGCAAGGATTTGATTTAGTGGTAATTACATTAGTTTTGAACTTGAAAATTTCAGGTTTGAATCTCTTAAGTTGTATCTACACAAAGAAATATAAACCTATATCACCCCTTATAAAATAAAAAACGTCATCTAAACCTCTTTTTCCGTCACGAATTTGGCATGAAAGAATCAGAGTGAAAGCATGAATCAATCAATCACTCTCCTTAGAGTGTTTATTTGTCTATACTACAAACGTTGGTAGGGTTAGGAAAACCACTCACATGAGTCCTTTCAACCAAAACCTAGAACAACATCTTACGGGAGAGTGACTAAATGTGACATGTTCCAGTAATTATTAGAGTGATCAAAATTTATATTAAATTTTTCTAGTGACTAAACATGACATGATTTAGTAATCTCCGTGACTAATGTGGCATTTACTTTTTTTTTTAATATTTCGGAAGGAAGAAAAAAAAAACTAAACCAGAGTGTTAAATGTTAACTAGATTGCTCATGCAAGAAGTCGATCAGTTTTCAGTATTATTCTTACATAATACACAGTTCGAAGTAATTTCATCTGTCTTTTGGTTGGTCACACACATCCAACTGGGCACAAAGTAATTAAGGTACGTACATCGATCCAGCTTCTTGGAAAGTAATTAACTTGATCAATTAGGTCTTACCTATAATCATCATCGTAATTATAGCTAATCCGCCACTTATCAATTACGATTTTGCCGAAGAAACAAACCATGTTATCAATCTGTTCACTTCGTCCGGCGAATCTATGTTCGCGCCATGCCCAGTGTCCTTCAGTACTTCCACTCTTGCTGTTGCTCCCAAATAGCTGCAAATAAAAATAAAACGCAACATTTTAATACAAATTAATACTCGTTTGTTAACTTTACGTAGTACAGGGAGCAAAATGGAAGTGAGAGATAAATACAAGTACCTTTGAAGTTGGTAGGCGAAATGCAATGGGAAAACATTATCCTTCTCACCCCATAACAGCAAAGTTTCCTTTTACCCCATAGAGAATTCAAAAGAATATGTTAGTTAATCGATTAGTGGGGTAAAAAAAACATAAATTAAAAGAAATTAAAATCTTGCAAATTAATTAACAATTGGTGGGAAAACTTTAATTTAATTACCTGAGTTATACGGGCTGGTTTTGCATTTGCTTTCTTCATCAAGTGATCCACCAACTCTAGTTTCTCCTTCTTGTGATTGTTACTTATTCCCTTCAAATCAGTTGCCACGTCATGTAAAATATTACCTCTTTTATTTACGATGAAAAAAGATGAGTGAAATTCAATTTTTCAGCCGCGTTTATCTTCTCGTCGTAAATACTTCTCTCATCGATGGTATTTTTTTCATAGAGTGTTTTTATGAGAATTTTGATAAAAGGTTAGGTTTAAAATCTATAACTTCTACCTGAATTGTAGACAAGATAATCTAGAACAAGTATAAGTTAAACATCTGTTAACCCCAATTTGAGTAATTACTATTGGCTTTGATGTAATGTCACCTTGGTAACGTGAACCCGCAGAAAGATCTGCTGCTTTTGAAAAACTAAGTATATGTGCTTAATTTGTGTAATTCTATCTATTTCTTGATACCTAAAAAAACTAGATGATCAATTAACCTCCTTAAGAAAGACCTTTTCTCTACGTAATTTTCACATGCATGCAACTAATTAAGGTCCACAAAGAATGAAAGGGTGTACGTACGTAAGTGAGTTTGCTATTAATAAGAATTATAAACTTGATCATGCAATAGATATGAACAATTTTAAGTAATGAGAACTTAATCATGCAAAAAATTAATAATAACTAAAAAGTTTCCATGCCACCTTCAATTTCATGATTAAAAGAATATAATGGAGAATTGATTTTTTTTTCCCTAGGTTATTAAAATATTTGATTCCGCACTAATCACTCGGTAAAGAGTGGTTGGTGAGATTTCGTAATTACACTAAACGATGAGATTCATAAGATATCAGGAAAGATGCTTTCCTCCACCGACAAAACGTGTGAAAAAACATGTTCTGCGAGTAAATATAAATTTGTCTACGTAATGAATTGATGAGAGGCATCATGAAAATATGAACTACATGCATAAATATTGTGTTATTTGTTTTCTTCTTCTTCCAAGTTTTTATCAATGTTGTACGAACCGTACTTTTACCGCTCAGTCGGACTCCGGCTACATGAAGTCAATGAATCCTGTTTAAACCACGATTTCGATACACAATACTCTAATACGCTGACTTTTCCGATATAATTAACCTCCAGTACGGTTTAACCGTTCTTATATGCTTTAATTAGTTAGTGATTAGTTTTTTTTTTTTACCTTGATGAAGCCTTGGAGCACAAAATCGGGCGCCAAGTTGTACCGACGGGACTTGTACAAAGCCAGCTTGATCATCTTCCTCACATCCCCAGGCTTCTTGGGCAGCAGCAGATCCCGAATCCCTTCCCCACCAATCCTCCTCATCTGCTCCTCCTTCTGCTCCTCCGTATAATGAATCCCGGAGCTAATGATCACCACCTTCTCCACCGCCGCCACGTCGACCTCCGCCATCCGGTACGCCACGTACCCGCCGTAGCTCAGCCCCACCACGCTGTACCTCTCCAGCCCCAGCTTCCTCAGCCCCGCCGCCACGCAGCCGGCCTGGAACTCGATCGACCGGTCCGGATTCTCGGAGTAGGACCGGCCGAAGAAGAGCAGGTCGGGGACGTAGAGGTTGAAGTGCTTGGAGAGGTGGCGGACTTGGTAGTAGAACTGCCACCGCGAGTTGGCGCCGAAGCCGTGGATCAGGACGAGGGCCGGACGGGTCGACTTCCGGTGGCCGGGGATCCAGAAGTGGACGGTGGTGGCGGCGGAGGAGGAGTCGGCGTCGAGGTCGACGGTGCATGGGAGCATGCTGCAGGAGGCGAAGTAGAGGGAGAAGAGGGTGTCGGCGACGGCGGTGAAGAATTTGAATGTGGCGTCGCGGAGGCGGACGGCGGCGGCGAGGAGGGATCGGAGGGCTAGCTTGAGGAGGTTGTAATATGGTTCCATGGTTTTTTTTGTTTTCTTTAATTGTATTGTTTTGTTATTGTTTTTTGTGTTTGTATATATAGGATATTGTACTTGAGAAAACTAAGTCCAAAGGGCTATAGTTAGTCTAGAGATTGCATGCATTGGTTCATTTCCTAGCTATGTCGATCGTTTATTTGGTTTGTCTTTCCATTTCATGCAGAGGATGCCTTAGCTTACGTATGAATATTGTGATAGAAAATAGGACGTGTTAAATTAACATATCTAATAACTCAATAACCCTAGCTAGCTTCAGTTTGTTTGGACATTAAGAGAGAGCATTAGGAATGAACTTTGGGCTAACAGGGAAAACGGATCCTATACAAAATGGTGCAATAACCTTCACATATTATTTATGGAAGGCAACTAAATTTTTTCGCAATTTAATTTAACTTGCTATATCTTTTTCGTTTGAAATTATAATCGAAAAATATAAAGAAAATCAAATTAATTGTGCTCTTTAAAGTGACATTCACTTTGGTATATTTTGGAACCAAAAAAATTGAGAAAATTTTTAGCAGTCCATATCGTGGTGGTAATGTTTGGTAATACATTAGATTATACTATCATGGTAGGAAAGTGTATCATGATATTATCAATATATATGTCATAGAGTAGAATGCTTATATACATGAAAGTAGTATACTAAATGTCATTTACCACTTTTCATCACCGTCTACCACCAGTTATCGCCCTATAAAAGGGTAGTATATTTGATCTTGAAATTATTTTCATAAAATTGCAAATCTAATAGATCACGATGAACACATTCCTTCTAAGCAAAATATTTTAAAATTTTGAGTAAAAATGAAGGTGGTACCAGCATACCAGGTGGTATGGATGGTACGAAAAACACTTTCTCTAAGTATATTGAAAATGTATATCATTTTTGTAGATCGCGTATTCATACGATACATGTTCCTATACGATGGAATTACTAAACTATACAAATATAGTTCAATTATGTGACACTATGTTAAACAATAATTTCATGCTCCTAAAAATGTTACTAATATGTAGGGTTGGGAAACGGTGTGGTCTGGTCCAGACCACACTGTATATACGGTATATGGTCCAGACCAAAAGGCTGAAGTATAGACTAGACCAAACCATGTACTATACGGTCCAGATGAGATCACGTTTGTACGGTCTGGTCTGGTACGATATGGTCCAGATAGATCACAATGAACGAAAAATAAACAATTTGTTTAGTCACAACACAAAAAATTGAATCAAGAAACGAGAGAGAAAAATTGTATTTTTTCCTTAAAACATAAACTCCAACATGCATGAAGAATTTTGACACCCTAAATCCCAGTAAACAACAAAAATACAAAGTCAAAGTATCCCAACTTGCACCATAACATCAGAAACATTAACATAATGTCATATGTAGACACGGTCGCCTCTACTCTCTGGTGAAATGTGGTTCTGAAAGAAAGAGGGGACGAGTTTCTCAAAATTAGAGTTGAGAGTTGGGCTTGTTGGGAGAATCAGGAGAGTGATCGAGTGGGCTGCTGACACGTATTGGGAAGTCGACTAGGTTCACGGTTTGGTCCGGTAAAGCACGGCCTAGACCAGACCAAGTGATCAAACATCATAAAATACAGACCATGGACCAGACTAGACCATTTTTAACGGTCTACGGTGCGGACCAAACTATACGGTCCGGTTTGGTCCATGATTTTTCAAACAGTTTGGTCTATTTTCCAAACCGTGTGGAATATTTTGTGCGTTATTTTTTAACCAAATTATCATGATCCGGTCTAAACATGTTTGTGGTCAATTGATGAAAGAAGTCATAAGGTTTGATTGCCGGAGATGAGCCGAAATCCCAATCGAGAAGGCAACCAAATTGGAAGAACGAAAGCTGGGTTTAGAATCAGCATGTGCAGGAAAACAAAGAAAAAATGGTGAACACCTAAGGATGAGTTTGTCATTCCAACGGCCATGAGTTTGAATTCATTAATTTTTAAAATTTTGATAAAAAATGGTGGTGCTTGGATTGAAAATCAAATAGTCCTCGTCCTAAATTTAAATCGGATGATACAAATCAAGCTACAACTATTTAAGATTTGGTCTGATTTCTTATTTCTATTTTCACCAATTCATAATAAAAATTGGATTAATCTGTTTCGGCTCAACCGAATGGTCCCGTTTTGTAAGTAACCCACAAACATCACAAATTCACAATGGTCCTATACCATAAGCCCTTCCCTCAGCAACCGAATGGTCCCGTTTTCTCCAACGTTGTTCAATGTGTGATCCCAAAATGAATAATTCCGATAGATACTTTACTTACTAAGTTCTAACACAATCCAATCCCTTTCTCCATTCACTTCCTTTCTTGTAGACCCTTTTTCTCCAACTTTCTCAAAGTCCATCTTTTTGGACGGCTTAATTTGTTTCCCCCTTTACTTTCTCCTGTCAAATTGCCTTTAGATTCCTTCATTGTCTCCCTTCTTTACCATCATCCCCTTCTTATAAGAGAACCCATTTGCCTCCTTCCCCAAATTCCCCCCTTAGAGCTCTCCATCTCAAGTTGGATTTCTTCCCTCAGCAACCAATCAAAACCACATTACATTCACGTCTCCCCGATCGAAAGACCTAGCATAACACCAATGGCAAGTTCCAATTGTCACTATGCTGCCCAAAACTCTTCAAGAGGACTAGCCATGGTGTTAGCTCTAACGACGGCTGTCGTGCTATCGCCACTGTACGCCAGCGGTAAGAATGACCATGCCTCATCGCGATTTTATCCCCATTACGAGCCCGGTTGGAGGTCTGGTTTTGTCCTGCCGATGGTCCTGGCAGGGTTGATAATCGCCATCAAGACAACATCATCGAGCAGCTCGACGGTTAATGGAGGTGGGAGCTCATTTGGGTCGTCGTTGGTTCCATCACCGGACCCTTCTTGGGTGCTCAGGATTGGGAGCTCGTCCTGGGTGCTTGCTGGGATATTGGTCATGCTCATGCTTGTGTTGTCTTGGCAAGAATCTGCTCAGCATTTCTTCTGGAGATAGTGAGAAACGATAGAAATGTAGCAATTTATATATATTTTGGATCATGTCAGTTAGTTTCTATCCTGATATTACAAGCTATGTTATCATGTTTATGTACTATTGAGTTATTGAAGTTGTTAATTTAGTTCATGTCCAAGTTTCGAGTCTCGAGATTTGGGTTCGAATCAGGTGCTAACGAGATAAGCATCATGCCATAGAGATGAAGGCAGACAGATTGACAATGTTTAGTTTTAGCGTTTAATTAATAGAAACGATCAAGCACCAAGAGACACGGATGAGCATCTGTTAACAAAATATGATGTATTTCCTTTACCACTGCTTTGAGATCAACCACTGAAAAGAAGTATGTATGCTGTTCAATTGTCAAGGCTAAAGTTAAAACTCAGTAGTCAGTATTATTATACCATACGTCAACAATTACATACATATACCTCACCCATATACACTAACTAGTTGAAAAAAAAATTTACAAACACTCATCATCTTCAGATCTTCCAACGGGACCAAAAGCTAGTCAAAGATCGGTGGCAGAGAAACCCTCTTCCGTGTCAACAGCATCTCGACAGTCGGACATTTCCTCTTCACCCCACCTCTAGGTCTAGATCGGAACTGCTCGTCGGATTCCTGAAAATCACCCTGCGAACCCAACCAAAGAGGACCGAGCAATCAGGCTCGTTTCGTTTCCCAGGGATTACAGACAGGCAACACAAGGCAAATGAGAGACAGAATCATAGAAAGGAGTAGCACCAGGGCGGAACTTACGCAAGAGTAGACATGGCACCCGGATTTCTCGTGATTATCACGAACATGTTTGTAGGAGAATCTCTTGCCGCAGCCAGGGAAACTGCAGCCATAAGGCTTGACGTGAAGATGGACAGCCTTAACATGCTGGTTGAGATTTGTTTTCTGGTTAGAGCAAAACAGATTAAGTTTGAGGAGGGAGCCCAAAGGCTACGAGGGGAATGAACCTGCTCTGATGTATGAAAATGATTGCTTACAGATGAAAACGTGAGGCTACAGCCATCATGGTGACACGCAACCCGCTCTGTAGTCTCGCTGCCTGCTTCATGGGTTCTCAGATGTCTCTTGATGTTCTTCCTTAGTTGTTTCGAACCACAAATCACACAATTCATGTACCTGTGGGCTGTCTGAATGTGGGCTCTCAGGCATTTTTCATTGGAGAAATGCTTGTTGCAGCCCAGTTCTAAGCACATGGCTTCAACGGAATCTAGCTTCACTGCATAATAAGAATCAAATGCAACCATTGTTAGAAGTGAAACCAATGTATTGAAGATAGTGACAGAAAATTGATGTCAAAACAAAAGGATACTTGCCATGAGAATATTGATGCTTTTGAAGCTTTGATGGAAATTTGAAGGCCTTCCCACAACCAGGCTCCTTGCAAACACATTGTTTTTCCCCTCCGGTATCATTGGATGATTCAATGTGCATACCTTCAACATGCCTCTTCACATTGCCTTGATACATGAACTCCTTGCTGCAACTCTCAATAGGACACTTAAAAAGCTTCCCTTCGTGCTTAAGGGAATGCCGAATCAGGTGATCTTTTCTCCGGTAACTTGAATGACAATCATCCACCGTACACCTAAATGGCCTCTACAGAAAAGGGGGGGAAAACAGATGCCAACCAGTCACTACCAGACTCCGAAGCTACGGGAAATCACCAGAACAATAATGAAAAAGCTTCTCAACACAAGGTTATAAAAAAACAAACAATGCAATAACCACTCTCAAACCTCGGTATATCCAGAGCGTGATTTGAGGCTTTCGCCTTGATGGAGCTTCTCAGGAGGTCTCCCACCCTGATACTAGTCCAACAAAGTCGGCTCTAGCATTTTGGAGTTCTGTAATATGGGATCCAATGCTTTCACGCCGCAACAATCAGGTCGTCTTAATTACTTAAAACAACAGAGCATAAATTTCCTGCAACAACCATTCGAATCTCAAACTCCAGCTTATTTAAAATGCTATAGCAGCTAAACAACAAGAAGCTCAAAGATTCAAACGCCACCTGGAACCACATACGTCAAGATTCGATATTCATCAACAACAATTCTTCACACATCAATTTCAACAATTCAACAATGGATCAACTTTTTTTTTTTTTTACCTCAAGCGAGTGACTCTTTAGATGCTGTTTCAGATACGCCGGCTTCCTGAAACTAGCTCCGCATTCTTCACAAGTATTGGATTTGTCCTCTTTCCCTTCTCCGTCTCCATCATTCTCGCTCATCTCTTCCTGAAAACACGAATCGAACAAATTCGATCAGATTACTATACCACCCAATCGAATAGAGAGACAAACTGGTGAGAATCACCAGCGAGTGAAAAGTTACCTTGTGATGGGAAAGGACGTGAGATGCGATGAGAGCCTTCTTGGATCGGCAAATTCCGCAGTATTTGCAGAAGTATCGCCGGATGTCTCTGGATTTCGGTGCGTCTTCTTCTTCTCCAGTCTCTTCTTCAACCTCTTCTTCTTCCAAATCTTCTTCTACTACTTCCATCTGTTCTTCCATATCTTTCTCCGTCGTTTTAACAGCTTCTGCTTCTCCTGCCATTTTCCGGAGCTCCGCCGCGGCGAGAGGGAAGTCAGAAGACGAGGAATTTGCTTAATTGTACTCTGCAGCTGCTGAGGGAAGTCTAGGGTTTTGGCGAGTTTCTTTTCGTTTCGTTATAGAGTGGGAGTAATTCAGTAATTGGGTTGTTGGAGCCCGCCATTTTCATCCAGTGGAAAGCCTATATAGTTTCTGTAGAGCCCATGGCAAAGGAAAGCCCAATAGTGCAATCGAAGGCCCAAGAACACAACTCTTATTCTCCTACTTATTTTTCCTTTCCCTCTCCTTTTTATTACCCGTGGCCCGTGCCGTGTCCTTTCTTCTTCTTCCGATTCGTTAAGCCGGAGCTAAGTTGTTCAGTAACTCGCCGGATTCCGCCCCTGACTCTTGCTAGCTCGCTCCCCCGGCGCCATCTCCGATGTAAGTATTCCCTGAATCCCAGTCGCTTCAAGCAATTCCAGAATCCTAATGTAGGTCTGCTCCCTTCCTCGTGAAAAGCAAAGGTCTGAAATTGGAAATTGTACGAAGAGCTACTCGACTGCAACTTCGTAATCCTTTCGGGAAAATTGAACGATTCATGGCTCTCTCTGCTGGATTTTCCATTTCTTAGACTAAAGTACACGATCTTTATGCTCAATCCAGCTTCCCATTCGTTCTTATAATGTCCAAAACGTGCTCATGAGGGGAATTTGGAAATTTTGTACAAGGAGTTCTTAGGGTTTGTAGAAAATTTCCCCTCTTTGCTAATGGATGGGAAATTGTTGTTAACATATGGGTTTTTCTCAGTGACGAGAAAATGGCCGAGGGAGATGAGGAGATGCCGAGAGATGCAAAAATAGTGAAGTCCCTACTGAAATCAATGGGAGTTGAGGACTACGAGCCCCGTGTTATCCACCAGTTTCTGGAGCTGTGGTATCGTTACGTCGTCGATGTGTTGACGGATGCTCAGGTTTACTCGGAGCATGCTGGGAAAGCTGCGATCGACACTGATGATGTCAAGCTTGCTATTCAGTCCAAAGTCAACTTCAGCTTCTCACAACCCCCACCAAGAGAGGTATTGGATCAATGAAACCTACTTTAAGCTAGTACGACCATATTATTTGAGTTCATAGCAGCTTATGCATATACTCATACATGGTCATATCGATCTCATGATGCTTTTAACTAGAAGTTAACGGGTAGTGGAAGTCTATAAATTTAGTAGACAAGTTGCTAGATAGCCAAAAACTTTGCCAAGCGATAGAAGCTTTGCCTGCAACTTCTTCTAGTAACTCTTTTGTCGATTTCATCGTCTTTCTCTGAGATTATGCATTCCAAACTTAGCCCTCACTGATTCATAACTGCACCTGGATTCGTTGTGTAGATTGGTGTTACTCGTATGGCCATGTCTTTCCTCGTATGGCTATGTCTTTCCTTGTTGGATTTAAGATTCTCGACACATGGTGAACACTTCCCTTTGCTATAAACCTAGATAGTAATCTCTGCTCTCTGGGGTCAATCACATTACATTAATTAAGTCCGGCCACCGATTTGTTAGCGTATGTAATTGACCCATTATCTTCCCTCTCTTTATGGGAATGTAAAGACCAGTTTCCACTTTCCAGACTCTTGAGAGCCTTTTTCATCTCATCAGGTTTTGCTGGAGTTGGCAAGGAATAGAAACAAGGTCCCATTGCCCAAGACTGCCCCAGGTCCCGGCGTTCCTCTCCCACCTGAGCAGGACACACTGATCAGCCCCAACTATCAATTAGCTTTCCCGAAGAGACAGCTTCCGCAAGTAGAAGAGACGGACGAAGATGAAGAAATGCCTGATCAGAATCCTTCTTCGCAGGAACCAAGTACTGGTGCGCCTCAGCAACAGCAAACCCCTCAACGAGTCTCATTCCCTCTTACCAAACTAACCAAGTGATAGACAGGGTAGGATAGTAAAGATCTTGTTCGCGATCAATCCTGTGCCTGTACTCACAGTTGTAAGTTGTAAGATACAGGCTAGAGCCTTGAGACTTATGCTTACTACATTAAGCGATTTGTAACTAGACGGGCGCTTCTTTCCAGTTCTAGACTGTTTAGATTCTTATTCTTACCCTTGAATGTTCAGTGTTATGAGTGTTACAGATAAAGAGCAACTGCTGTTAACAAATCAGTTAGTTTGGTTAGCATTCTGTTACTACTGTAACTCAACCGCGGATCAATACTGTAACATGTGACTAGTGAGAGATGCTTACAGAACAGTGATCTTTCATTTAATGAGGGGAACTTGGAAACACAGCCGCGGCCAATTTCCACAACCAGTTTTGACCAATTTCCCCCATTTTTTACCATATAATTATATTACAACTGTTCTTCTACAACCAAACATGTATTTACAAGGAAACAAACCAATTGTTACTATGAACGCTATTCATTCATTCATTTGGATCCAAATGAAGTAGTGGTATCATCAACTTCTCCATCCAGTAGTAGTTGTTGGCGCTGTGCTCGATGAAACGCTGCTCGTGGTCGTCAAGCCCCTGTCGTACATCCGCTGTATCTCTTCCCTGTACTCAGTCAGGGACTTGTCAGGAATGGTGGGGCTTAGCTCCACAACATCCCCCATCTTTAGCTTGCAGGTAGGATCACTCACTGGCTCGTGGTTGAGCTTCGGCCGCAGCTCTTCTTTGGCTGGGAAGCCATATGGTGACCATCTCGTGCTGCCTTGTCCAGCTCTCTCGAGCAGGTCCACGACAGAGGAGTTTGCTGGGAGCTCCTGGACCGACATCTGCAGTTCAGAAGAAACCCAATTGGCATTGTCATTTTTACAGGGAAAAGATGGAGAGTGAAGCCATGAAATAGGAGAGCAGAAAATTTTGCTAGCCGAACCTTATCGTTCTCGATGATGATGATGAACACGGGTCCATCTTGACCGCAGAGAGGCTTGCAGGAATACCTGCAATCTTCTGAATGAACAGGGAAAGCACAGGGAGGCTTCACGGAATCAGCAGCGTAAGAGATCGATGAGGACCGATCTTTGTTCATTGTCTCGCACTGCCAAGTCACTACCCACCGAGCCCACTCGACCATCTGCAGGACGAACGAGGAATGCTTGCAGTCGCCTTCCTTGTACCTCCAGTGCGCAGCAAACCCAAACTCAGCCTGCAAATGCATCTCTTTTGTTCGGATCTGGACCTCTAGTGGGACCTCATCATCGCCTGTGACCACAGTGTGAAGAGACTGGTACCTGATGAAAACACGATAACTCGTTTACTTACAAGAGACTAAATTCACAGATGAAAGTTACGAACCGAGAGAGAAGAAGATAGATTACCCATTGAACTTGGGTTGGCTTATGTAATCCTTGAACTTCCCAGGTATTTCAGGCCACAACTCATGGACGATTCTCAGTGCTCTGTAGCAGTCTTCCTTGTTTTCAAGGATCAAACGGAGGCCATGGATATCATGGATCTCATCCATCTTCAGCTTTTTCCTGAAGAAACATGAGGTGCAGGGTCAGAAACAGAATCAAACGTTAATTAACTACAAACATCGTAAGAACGATAGTAACTTTTGAAGATTTTTATAGATCCGTACAAGGCTTGTTTCCCTTCTCGGATTGTAAAATCACAAATTTAAAATCAGGCCTTTAAGGACGTGACACCAGCTAGACTAAACTCACAAATGGTGAAACATCACCAGCACATTGTTGCTCTCCTTTCACATCTTCCTAATAAATCCATGTGATTACTACATCCTACAAAGGTACTTCAAGCTTTCTAACAGGATAAGATGGTTTGCTGGTCCAGGGCAAAACTTATGGAAAGTGGTACTCTGATCCAAGGACTTCCTCAAGTAGTACATCAACAGTGGTCCAATTTAACACTTGATACGCTACTCTCAACTATATGACAGGGGGAGAGAGAGCTCAGCTTACTTCAACATCTTGCGATAAATGCTGTACAAACTCTTATGTCTCCCAGAGAGCACGTGGTAACATATGGCTTCATCCTTCAGCGCTCGATCCAGTTTATCTGTTGCAGCAGTAATCACTGCCTCATCAAAAGATTTCACCAGCTGAGAAGACAAATCTTTATGCTGATCAGGGTTCAGATGCTTGAAGCACAAGTTTTCCAGCTGGTCCTTCCACGAAGAGATCCCTAATCGGTTGGCCAAAGGAGCAAATATCTCGAGAGTCTCCTTGGCAAACCTCTGCTGCTTGGCCAATGACAGAGCATCCAGCGTCATCATGTTGTGCAATCGATCAGCTAGTTTTATCAGCACGGCTCTGGCATCCGCCATTGCCAGAAACATTGTATGCAGACGATCTGCCTCAACAGTTCTGCTGGCTGTGTTATTCTCTCGTGCTAGCTGGCTCAAATGGCTGAGTTTCGAGACCTGAGTAAATAATGATAAAGAACCATGTCGGCAATCGTAATTACTGGATTGAAATGCAACAGCGACACTACATTTTCCCTTCATTCTCAAGGTGGATTCAAACAAAAGAAGCTGAGATCGTTCCCTAAAGTACACTACTTACCAGTCAAAAATCATCATGTCAGATTCAAAAGGGCAGTAAAGGTATAAACTCAATGGCCGTCAGCAATAACATTAACATCAAACCCCCACAAAAGTCACCAAACTCACTGAACAGTTCGAATGAGTTATCGTAAGTTACTGCCATCTTACCCCTTCAACCAAATCAGCCACTCCAGCTCCAAACGTGCTGCAAATATGGTCATAGCTCAAGAATGAATCATCGATTGTATCGTGTAAAAGCCCTGCAGCAACCATGGTGGGGCTAGCACCAATCTTTGCAAGCAAAACAGCGGTTTCCACACAATGCTGCAAGTAAGGATCGCCACTCGCCCTCATCTACAAACAAACAATCAATCAAACCCAAAAAGAACAAACTTTATAAACTAGGAACACACCTCAAACCTCAACTTATACAAATGAAGTTGAAAGAACCTAAATTTCAACCCCCAATCGCCAATACCTGTCCTCTATGAGCCTTCTCCGCCTCGTGAAACGCCTTGATCACAAAGTCTTCTGTGAAGATCCTGTGCCTCATTTGAGCACCAAGCAACAATTCCTTTGCATAGGGCTCGTGATCAGGCTCCCCCACGAAGCTTTCCTCCATATTAAACGTCAATTCATCAGCAGCCGGAGGAGCTGGAGATGGAGCTACTTCGAAGCTCGGTGAATCGTAGTCCACACAAGACCCCAATGCGTGGCTAACGAACCTATCGAACAGGCGATTCGCCCCATATCTAAACGAGCTATGAACCGAGCTCTGAAAGCATACATCGGCACCACGAGCTAACCTCGTCGGAGGACTGCTGGAACAAGAGACCGGAGCTTGCAGCACAGAAACCGGACTGTGATCCTTCCTCGCAGAAAATCCACCCCCTACGCCCGCGACGATGCATTTACTCGGGGAATAGCGAAACGAGCTGCTCAATTCCTTCAAATCGTCCCCTCTATCGTGCCACAGAGCGCCCAATTCCTCCCTGTCGCCGGAGAACGACGAGTGCTTTACCACGCTGGGAGAAGAGAACAGACACGTCAGCCCGCCGATTTGCGACTTGTGAGAGGAAGAGCCACTGGCGGAAGCGGAAGACGAGGATCTCGAATTCAGATCGAAGTCGTAGCTCGTGCTGCCGTTGATCGAGCATGGGTGCGGCGTCGAGCATATGGTGCTCGGCGGGCTCGCGTACAGAGCAATTGTCGGAACCGCCATGAATGAACACGGAGATCGGGAAAAAAACCAGAACCCAGATAAATTAACCGCTAAATCGACGAATTCCCACAACCAAAACGAACACAATTTGATGAATTTTCAGATCGAGAAAACCCTCCCAAAATAAACAAAGGGGTTTCTTCGAATTTTTTGCCTAGAAAAGTTTAAAAAAACCAAGCTTTGCTGTGAAATATATACAGAACAACCCTGTACAGACTTCTGTTCGACACTACACACACCCAATTGACTTGCAAATCTGAAAGCAAAGAACTGGGCAGCTTTGTTGGAGAAATGCAAGAGGGGAATCTTTTGAATGGTAATTTGTTTTCTTCTTCTGGGTTATTTTGAAGAAATGAGAAGGAAAGAGAGAAACAACGAGCAAATATAAATTTATAAAAAAAAAAAAAAAACAAAGAGAGCTCTGGGAAATTTGCAGCTTTCTTCTTGGTTCTTCCTTCTGCTTGAAGTTTCTCTCTTTCTTTCTCAATCTGGTTTTATTTTCCTTTCCCTTTCATTTCTTCTCTGTCTGTCTGCGGATCTTTATTTCGCGTAGCGGCCAGGGACAGGGAGAGCGCTCAAAAGTACTTGATTACCCTCCTGTGCCAACTGAAATAACGGCTTTTACCCGCGGTTTGTCGGGTTTCGCTCTTTTTTTCTGATTTTCGTTTCAATCTTATCTAGTTATCTCTGTTTTGAGGAATAAACTTATAAATTAGTTTTTGGCTTTTTGCCCAAAATCAATCAGGTGGGGAAATGATAAACAACTAAGAATAATTAACAAATTGGTGATGACGCTGTTAGTGGTATTTGTTTGGCTAATTCAGCGGTTCAATTGCATACGCAAATATATCTTCTAATTATTATAATTATAACTATAGTGATTGGTACTTGTTGTCTCTAAATTTTTTATTTATTTAATTAAAAACTGGTAAAACATTTAACTTAATATTATTTTCCTCAACCAAGTACATATAAAAAAAAAGTATCTTAAACCAGATTGATGAAACTAGATTATGGAAGATAAGGCACTGCTTGACTCGTCTTACGTTTCATTATTTTAAATCTTAATATGTTGAGTTTATTTTTTTATCTAAATAGTAATTATTCATACTCGTTATTATCATAGAAAATATACAAAAAAATTATGGGATAAAATATCGAACATTACAAAAGGCTTACTATACGTTACGAAGAAAAGAAAAAACATGCATTGCTAATGCAATGATACATGCACACTTTACACTAAATTCTAGCACCAAATCATCCAAGCAATTACCAACCAACGTCTCTTTGTAGATCTCCACTAGCAATACCCATTGTGGGCTTCATTTGATTTTAGAAAATCGATGTTATTTTACCAACATATGTCCTTCGTTTCTAAAAGTCTAAACCCCACTCTCAGCCCATTAATATTTTGAGTAAATGACACATTTGGTCACTGAGATTACTAAATCGTGTCATATTTAGTCACTAGAAAAATTTAATATTAATTTTGGTCACTCGAATTACTGAAACATGTCACATTTGGTCACTCTTCTGTAGTCTCTGTCCAACTTCGGTCACTCGAATTATTGAAAAATGTCACATTTAGTCACTCGGATTACTGAAACATGTCACATTTAGTCACTCTCCCAAAAGTTTCCGTCCAACTACATTAATGGAGTTGGACGGAAACTGACGGGAGAGTGACTAAATTTGACCAGTTTCGGTAATTCGAGTGACCAAAATTGATATTAATTTTTTCTAGTGACTAAACATGACACAATTTAATAATCTCAGTGACCAAATGTGTCATTTACACTTAATATTTTCCAAAATTTGACAACAATCTTGGTCTACCTACGAATTAGTATATATCCAATCATTTGATTGGTAACTAAACTATTACTAAAATCCTAATGATCTTCTGTCTAGCTCTACCCTTCTATCTTCCACCTTGGGTTTTTAGAAAAATAACTCAGTAGAATATTAATAACAATAGAAGCCAATGGAGTCATCGTTGGATAATTTGGCGTACTCTGTTAACCAATTATTAAAAAAATTATATAGGATAATGATCACCCATTAAGATAATTAAGGACGATTAATCCAAATAAAATCTAGAAAAAGGATGGTCAAGTCTTTAGAGACAAATATAAAACTCCAAGTGAGTGGAAGAAAGTTTATCATATAGAAGGTAATTACGATGTCAACTTATTATAGTTATATATGACGATTCATTACTATGAGTGAAAATTTACAAAATAATATTTTTTTTTTCTTTGCATACATCTTTGTTCTTATCTTGAACCCACCATATTTTCCCCAAACGACAAGCAAAAAGGTTTAATTACCCTTTCCCAACAACTTCCACTCATGGCAAAAGACTGTAATTAGCCTTCTCTAATGAGTAATTAGGAGTGAGCATTGTTCTGTTTGAAAAAGAATGAATGCTTCTTTGGTAACTTCCTATTCGGGAGATTCTTGGAGATTTACGGATGGGGTAAAAGTAAAATCAATTGGAGTCTATACTCTATTAAAAAGAACTTGTTGGTAGATGTACAAAGATGGCTAATCCAGTCTTTTAATTGTTTAGAAGTAAGTGGCTCGCTCTATCAGGGTTATGTAATACATTCATTTTTGTTGTCGTAGTTTTTCATCAAACTAAGTCGGACATACATGTCTTTAATAATAAGCTACCACCAAATATTATTGTAAAAGTTATTGAATTGGAAAGACATTGAAATGTGACAACTCATTTTCAATAAATGAACGAGATTCAAGGAATAGTAGATAGTTATGAAAACGATCGAGATCCATACCACACAAATTATCATTCATCCTCCTAAAATTAATTTTTAGGCATCTCGTGTCAAGTTAATTAATGTTATCACCTAATACAATAACGAGTTCATCATTAACAAAATAACATTTTGTGTACTTTATTGACCACGGTCTTTATACATGTTTTGTGTGGTCTATTGTACACAATTTTCTTACTTTACCACTTCTAATTGCTTGTTTGGAAATCCAAATTATAAATTTATTGGTGAAGAATCAATTAAGTTAGGCAACTTTGTTAAACCTTGTTATTATTATATGCTAAAAAGGACAAATAGTAGCCTTCCATGTTACAACCAATCTCATTTGCTAGGGTAGGTGGAACTACAGAAGATTCTTTCATTGTCAACTTGCTCAATGCAATGTTAGCTCTAGGGCCACATCATGTTGGGAGAAAAAAGGGTCCACATATTAGGATTTTTTTCCATGGTCATTGGAGGCAGGGAGGAAAAGGAATCAAATTGAATCTTTTCTTTCGTTTTAACTTTGTTTTCGGTATGAAAAATCCACAATTATTTGTGTGGTTGTATTTATATAGGCTCTCATTCAAATTAGAATATAAATCAAGTTGGTGAAAATATTAGGAAATAAAAATTAGAAAGAGAAACTGGCAGTTATTTGTATTTCCCTTTGAGAAAATAAATGGTCTAGGTTCATTAGTGCGAGGAAGCAAGCCAAACAAGGTTTTTGGTAAGCTTCGGGACTTGTTTTAAAAAACTCGTGCTATGCTTTTAGAAATTGAGATGTACTTTAACAGACCATTTGGTACCAAATGAATCGAAAATTCATTTCATTGTAAAATTAATTATCGTATAATTTTTTTTGTCAAATGAAATCCTATGTTTGGTATGTTATATTCAAATCTGTAGAAATAAAATGAAGTGTAGTGTAGAATTCATTGTCAAATGAATTCCTGTTTTTAGTATGTCATATGTATAAGTAGTTTAATTGATAAAAGAGGATAATCATGTAATTGTATTATAATTAGTAAATACTTGTGGAATTCATTTGGAAATTCCATCTCAATTCATCGGAATTGCTATAATTAGTTCCAATTCCGTAGAATTTAGAATTGAAAATGAATTTTTTTTAATACCAAACCCGAAAATATTTCATTTCAAAATGAATTCCTCAAAACTTATGGAATTCATTTATACCAAACGGTATGTAATAAATTTGTGTTTTGTTTTATAAGATTTTTAGTATGATTTATGAAATTTGTGGTGTGTTTTAAAAAATTTGTGGTGTGCTTTGATAAACTTGTGGTATGTTTTAATTAATTTGTGATATGCTTTTAGAAATTTGTGATATATTTCCCTTTCTCTTTCCCATTTGTGGTATGTTTTGATAAACTTTTGGTATACTTTAAGAAACTTGTGATATGCTTCCCCTCCCTTCTTCTCCCTTCAAATTCTACATTGTTTTCATGGAAGTTCACATACAAATTATAGTTTAGTATCTAAACTACATTGTTTTCATGGAAGTTCACATACAAATTATAGTTTAGTATCTAAACTTAATAGATCCTAATATTTAGCGTCAAAAAATTATGTTTTTACATATAAGTCCTAAAATTTAATAGATCTATTAGTGCCTTACATTATTTTTTCATATAAGTCCTAAAATATTAATGGAAAAATTATATTTTAGTACCTAAATTTTTTTATCTTACACATTTTGATACCTAGACTTTTTAAAATCTACAAATAGGTCTATTAAGACTTTTTAAATTATATTTTAGTCCAAATTTAGTTTCACTGTTAAGAACTTATGTTATGCTTTAAGAAACTTATGGTGTGCTTCATGAGAGTTCCGGTCTATTTCAGGCATTTGTGGTCTACTTTAAGAAACTTGTTTTAGTAAACTTGTGTATGCTTTTTGAGACCAGTGGTCTGCTATAATAAATTTGCGGTGTGTTTTATGAAACTTGTGGTCTCTATAATTGTGGTGTGTTTCATGACACTTGTGATGTACTGATGTGGTGAAATTGTGGTCTCATTTCTAATATCTGTGGTGTGTTTTCTTGTGTTTGTGGTGTGAATTTTGTGGTCTCCATCCTTCCCTATTTAATTGCACAATACACGTTGGTACTCCTTTCCCAAAATTTTATAATACCAAACGTGCCCCTACGCCCCTCTTTCTTCAGATTTATTAATTTTGGTCAACTCATTTAAGTTAAACAATTAAGTTAAACCGGTTTTCCTATTGTTTTCTCCTGCATTCTCGAAGGTCTAGCTATGTTCCCCAGCTTCGATTATATATATACAAGAATGGTAAGTCCCTAGCATTGTTTCTGTTCGTCAACTCTTTTATATGTATGGTTTTTGTGTTTAGGTCAAACTAATTTGGCCAAAGACATGTCTCTAAATTTTGACAAAATGCTGCTATTTTAACTAATAATAATGTACTTCCTTGTAAGGGTCAACTAGTTCCATGGTGTTGAATTTTGGAAATTTAAAATAAACCAAACCAAACACGTTGACATTTTCGGAAATAAATTGCACTTGGAAATTAAAGCTTGTGGAGCTCAACAAAGTTCATGAGTTTTCAATTATTAATTAATGGGTGAAAATATTATTCAAAATGTTTTTTTCTCTCTCTCTAAAGGCCGGTTTGTTATCCAACATTATTTTAATGTCTTATATCTAACATTGGTGTTCCTTCTAATTATCAATCATGTGCAGTACCTTTCCAATCAAGCAATAAGAG